TGAAATCCGGTGAATTGGCTGGTTGCGCGGTAAGCTTCATATCCCAGCCACCAGCTGAGCACGCAGAGTGCACTTCGGGGTCATCAACCGTGACGTGCGGTTTGGCGTTATCCTGTTGCAGCAGGACCCGCTTGCCTGATGGCCATACCGCTTTGATGCGCGGTATGACCATCCGGCAAAGCGCTTGTCGATAAATGTCGCGATCGACAGTGTATGTCTTTAGCTCCAAAGTCCCAGCCGCTCGATTCTTGCTGGATCGCTCTGCAGGCTCATAGACAGCAAACGGCCACACACCGATCTTTCCACCCCAAATACAATGATTCTTCGCAGACCATCGCGGGCGAGCCACTGCCGCAAGGAACATCACTTTGATCATGTAGTTCTTGTTCTTCACGGAGATGTAGGGCTCCTCTTCGTGCTCTCCAAGATAGAACCGTTGCTTGTCCTTCTTCAAGTAGAACCACTACTCGTCTAAATGTACGTAATCCATCATACTGTCGAATCGAATACAGACACCGGGACCACGCTGCACAAAACTAGCAGCAAATTTGACTCGATCGATACGCTGCTTGTCAGTAAGCATCGGCTTGGCGCGAGCTGTGTGGCAACAAAATACTCCAGCGAGAAAGTAGTCATGCAGCGTAGACTTTGGAATACCGAGTGTATTCGCCAAAGTACGAATATCTGACCTGTCTTCTAGCGGGATAAGTTCGATGGCGTCGTTGAGGGCGTGGCGGAACTCCGGCGTTAAACGCGTCTTGCGGCCACTCTTTCCCTTCCTGCCGCTGTTGTAGTTGATCGGCTCTCCTGCTTTGATGTCCTTGGTAGTCCGGCGCCACAATCGCGAAATCTGGTCAGTACTACATCCATACTTAGTCGCGATGGAGCCGATCACGCCTGGAGACGGGCGTAGCTCAACGCTGACCCGCAGGAGGAAAGCGATAACCTCAGCACGCTCGGGCGGGGTGAGATTCTTTCGTGGCTTTGCCACAGGAGTAGCGTCAGACCCCATCACAAGGAGTGGCGAAGAGTCAAAGCCGAAATGGGGTTTGACGGCTGTGCGTTTACCGTGGCTCTGCTCAACGAAAACTCGCACGAGAACCACCAATCGACTTGTCAGGCTCGACCCGTCAATTTTAGCCAGTAAGCAAGCAGAAAAGGTCAAATTTGAGCTTAATATTGGTCAATCCCCGCAGCACCGCTTATATTTTCGGACAGAGGAAGTATTGAGCAGCGAGTAAAAATGCAAGCATTTTTTCAGCATTTTATCAATTATTCTAGGGTTAATACTGTCCACCAAAACTACTGATTGCCATCACCTCAAAAGAGACTTTACTGCAATCTCCTCAGCTCATTCGACCTTTTGCAGTCATCCCAACAGCTCTTCAGCCCCCTTTCGCCCAAGTACCCCATGAAATTTACAAACAAGGACATCTGAGCGCGTATCTGGCTGATCATGAACCCATGCTGGCTAAGATACACGCGCTCATGAAACACCTGAGCACCATCAAGTGTCGTGCTGCCCTTCGCAAGGTGACCTCTCTAGCGCCCGTCATGCCCAACGCGACTCGTTGGTCGAGTACCTACAGCAGTACGACAAGATTTGTAGCGCTCTTCTCGCGTTGTACCACGCTACGGTGGCTAAGCATGACATCGCGCGCTTTCTTCTGACGACCCATAGGAAACCGAAGCCGCTCGCTCTTTTCTCAAGTCGCTGCACGAGCTGAATGAGGTGAGTAAGGCGCTACAAGACTCAACTCTAACAGTGGTGGGTGCACGACGTGCCTTTGATGCAGTGTTGCGCAAGTACCCCAGCACGAAGATTCGGCTTGCAAGTGACGCCTCCGTCGTCAACGATCCCGAACTGGAGAGCGGCATCGTCAAGATCATTGGCGGTGTCGGCTGAATGCACGCGAACAAGCGGCGTGTATTCATCTCAAGCGCAGCAGCGACGACACAGTGGAAAATCCAGCAGTTTTCAAGTCATTTCTCGCGTCGGCCTTCAAGAAGGCCCCTGTGACGCGCTCTCCACCGCAATACTTTCCTCTCGAGTGGGTTCCACCCACGTCGAACGAGTGCGAGCGTTTCTTCAGTCAAGCCAAGCTGGTTCTGACCGACCTAAGGAAAGCCATGGACCCTAACACTCTTGAACTGCTTATGTTTCTATCGTACAACAAGAAGGATTTAGTGTTAAAGCTATCAGGCAGAGTATGCGTAGTCAGCTTAGGGAATAATGCCATTATTATTGTCTTGGCGTAATAGCAGCAGAATATATTGAGTATGGCATATTGGGGAGCCCTGATTGTCAGTCCGCCGGTTTGGGGAGCGATCGCGGACGGCATCCACAACCAGAAGCTCGCACACACGATGTGCCTCGTATCGGCGGCATTCTTGTTCTTCTCCATCCAGTACGTTACGTCGTTCCCGCTCATGTGCGTGATGGTGTTCATCGCCAACTTCCAGACGCAACCGTCGTTTTCACTGCTCGATCACGCGTCCATGGCGTGGCTGGAGCGTGTGGCTGGAGACTATGGCAAACAACGCCTGTACGGCGCCGCAGGTTACGGTGCTGGAGGCTACTTTGCAAGTGTCGTGGCTTCGTCTCTGGGTATTTAGTGGTGCTTCAACATGGTGCTCATCCTATCGAGCATTTCGCTTTTCCTGTTGCTGACGTACGTCCCGAATTTCCAGCACGAGGCGGAAAAACACGAGAAGGGCGAGTTACTCAAGAGTCTAAAGGCCATTCTTCGCCAGCACGACGTGCTCGCTCTGTTTATGATCGTGATATGTTCCGGTGTAATGGGGGGCCTTATCGACAATCTCTTGTTTCCAGGGAACCCAAAAATGCAATACTTAAATTAATACATCGATGTGAGCTGAGAAAATTAATAATTCAATTATTTGCAAAACTTCGCAAGTCACGATTGTAGTTCAGAAACATTATATTCTCGAGCCTGGCTGGAGACATTTGCTTCCGTAGATCAGACAGCACCAGCTTAGCGAGATAGAAGAAGCACTCACACTCGCTAGACGTTGGCGGGATGTACGCGACGTCGACGTAGTGCGCAATTGCGTTTCTTGAACGCCGCTCTCACAATAGAACGCTCTTCGACGGCTCTTGAAGACGACCGTTCGAGATCAGGCGACCTAAATTCAGCGCAGGCTAATTTTTCCGCGACGTTCAGCGCGTCCCCACGCTGTAACTTGACTAGACCTTACTCAAAATTGGGGTTGTTCCCGTTGTTGACAGCCATAAATTGATAATTAAATAAAAAAAAATAGGATTATTTTTTACGCATATAACTTTTTCGGGTTCCCTGCTTGTTTCTATACCTCTTTAACCTGTCCGGCAACAACCCGCATATCGTCGGTGTAGTCGTCGCTGTTGAGACCATCTCGGAGCTGCCATTTTTCTTCCACGCTAACAAAATCATTGAGCGCTTCGGAACGGCCAAGTGCATTCTCGTGAGCTTGGTCGCCTACGGCATCCGCATGATCACGTATGCGTTCATTCAGAACCCGTGGCTGGTTCTCCCGATCGAGGTCTTGCACGGTTTGACGTATGGATTATTATTGGCGGCCTTCACAAATTACATTTACGAGGCTGCTCCCAAGGGCACGGAAGGTACGATGATCGGCGTGCTCTTCGGCGTCCAGCGTGGCATCGGTGGTGGCCTCAGTACGCTTGGCGGTGGATGGGTCTACGAAGTGCTGGGCGGCCGCACTATGTGGGGTATTGCGGGCTTCATCGTGTTCCCGCTCTCACTGGTGGCTTCAGCCGGATTCGCGTACCTGGCGCGTAGCTACACCACACAGAGCCCAGCGGTCAGTAAGGGCAGTGTCACGTCGGACGAGAGTTCATTGCTTGCCACTTCGGATGACTACGGCGCCACCGTGGACGTTAGCGCACAGTGTTGAGTGGAGGTAGGTGTAACTCCACCAAATAAGTTCGAACCGCCACCAAAAAAAAGGAGAATGCAGGACAGCTATCACTCACAAAATAAAAGTGGAGTGTCCACACATATAGGAAGCAGTAACACTTAGCACAAAGCTAATCAAACACTCCATGTCAGTGCTTTTGTTCGAATCATAAGCATAGGTGAAGTGATTCGAGCACTAAGTTGTAGCGATCATGTTGTAGCTGCAGCAACAGCGAGTCGCAGTCAACGACGCCTCACTTTCCCTTGCAGCGTGCCATGGCACTACATTTCGGCTGGAATCCGAGCAAAGACCACACTCTACGAGGTTGTGGCTGGGACGGTGGAGTCCACGTGCCCCTTAGCCATTAAGTTAGCTTTGCAGTGTCATTCTCCAACTTGAGCCCAAGCGCTCCAGCACCACACTCCGTCCAGAGCAGCGGCACCCAAGACCGACCACCAACGCAGCTCTAAGAAAAACACAAGTACGTTCATAAATGTTATAAAATGAACGTTTCTAGCATGTTGATTCTGCGTTCATCTACCATGTTTGATGGTGCAGTGCAATGAGCTCGACATGAAGAAGTGTGTGATTGGGTCGCGCTCGTAGTCAAGTACTGGCACTTTGGCAGTCGTCGCCATCATCTCCGTCTGGATCGTACATGCCTACTACTTCGTTGTCGAGGGTGACAAGGCCATGAACGTGCACAGTATGCACGCATTGGCCATCCACGCTGGATCCTGCAGTCCATTGGTCACGGCGTCTTCGATCGTCGCAAACCGGCACTCTTCGACAGCCTGGACCAGGATCTGATCACCGCTCCGATGTTCGTGTAGCTCCAGATTTTGTTTCATATCGGTTACCGTCCGGAAACCTACACGCGCGTGATGAAGCAGGTCCGGATCACAGCAAGACCTTCCAGGCTACAAAGACGCTGTAGTTGAGGCAACAAGACAGTGACTTTTGTGGCCTCATCAAAAAGAAAAATGTATTGTTTTCGATATATCTATGCGAATTTTCTGGTTAGGAGGCTACGACGATCTCTGCCATCTCTGTGAGACTCTTGGCAATCCTCCGCCCCACGACGAGACAGTTGAGA